AAAGTTTCTGGAACACAACATTGCAAGTTGATAAAAGCGTTGTAAAATAGGGCCTTTAGCCCCAAACATTTATTAAACATTTTGACAAACACATACATTTAAAAAAGAGACGGATACACGCGAGATCAGTTTTTTTTTTTTTGCTAATAACACACAAATTTTATCACAGTTTAATTTTTTTCCTTTTAAAAATATAACTTATGTTTATATATTTTTTAAATTAAATTATGTGTATCTTTGCACTCTGTAAACGAAAACACTTTAACACCGCATTAAATGCAGCATCGAATCCCTTTTTCTAGCGGCACCGCACTCTCTAGGCTAGAGCCATCGACAGACAGTGGCGAAATCATCTCAGCGGGCACCTTTAATAGTGCGCGCCAGAGGAGGTGGATCGTTGCTGTTGCTATTCAGCCAATGTGCAAGTGCATCTTAACGCTAATAACTGCATTTACTTACTTACAAAATTTAGTAGAAATTACCGTTAATCGCCCACTTGTACTGCGCTGAAGGTGACTCTCTCCACCGGCACCAGCAACAAAACTGTCCATTCAGCGCTTTGCCGGTTGCTTGATGCGCTTTATGTGATTCGGCTTTGTATTCTTTGTTGTTGTTACCGAAATAATATTGGGTTTTTGATGTGGTTCTCTGGACCAGTGAGTGACTCATTGTGTTCGATTTTTTTTATCAGTGAGCATACGAATACTTGAAAATTGTTGCTCTTAACGCATGCGTTATTTAATAATTTTTTTTCTTGTATTTGACTTGATTATCTTGCTTTCGCGGTAGCTGCTCTATGCACATATATTGGAACCAGGGTAGCCAATTCATTTTTGAGAATTCTCCGATTTCGCCCGAAATTTCGCAAAATTTTTTTAATTTAATTTTAGTTATTTTTTATAAATATATAGTTCATTCTTTAAAGAAAACCATATAAATACAAGTTTCAAACTTTGTGCAATATTAAAAAAAAAAAACGTTCGCAAAAATTTCGATCTTTTCATAAGATTTTCTAGAAAGACTTTGAGTGTGCAGTTTCGTAATTCACTCAATTCTAGTGCAAGTTTCATCAAGTGGCTAAAAATTTTGGT